AGTACCATTTACCGTAATGATGTCATTTTGATATAAATAAAGTGTTATAATTATGTGCATAAAAATGCACAAAACAAGTTCAATTGTTTGACGTAACATTAATTAAGTTATCATGGTCTGTAGACGCTAACAGACAAAAAATTAATTAAAACGTCGGTCATTTTAGTTGTAAAACGAAGGCAAAACCTATACACTTTGACCTTAGGTTCTGAATCATCAGTTTTCTCCTTGGAAACATGCATATTATTAATTTAAACCAGTAATTTCCTATAAAATTGTTCATTTAAACAAAATAATTTTGTATTTGTTAGCTGCTTGCTTTCACTTACTAAGGTGTCATCTGCCTATTAACAATTTCTACTACCAAATTTTAATATTCCATTCTCGCAATAGTGGTAAAATGTTCAACCTTATTACAACTTGACATATCAAGGTTCCTTCCTTAATATATATTTTTTTTATTTATAGATCTTATAAAGCTGCGGAAAAATTTTATGTTTTCTTAGAGTGGGTGCATTCTAGTTTATCTTTAGTCAAAGCATTATGTGGGGTACCACCACAGAATGTGTTGCAATTTTATTTACGGGCATACTTTATACCGGTTTGGTGGCATGCACGCACCATTATTGTATTGGACAAAGAAGCGAAATTTTATACTTATATACTCAGTTCAATTAAAACAAAATTTGACCTTTTACTATAATAAACTGGGTACAGTAATGCAAATTAAGTATGACTTAATGTCAATGGTACTAGTATTTGTATGTTGTTGATTCACTGACCGCAGAAAATAAATTGAATTTCCTGTCTTGTGTTTTAAATGTGCGTTGGAGTAATTTTATGTTAATTTTGAAAGATATTCACTTGGAAAATGACCGTCATTGATTCTGATTTTCCATGTTTCCGCAGAATCAATTAATATTATTCAGGTTAGAGACCCCAACAGACTTTTGGGAGTGTCTTTTAGTAGTGGGCCCGCATTATCGTGCAATATTCGATTAAATTTTTTCTAAATATAGGTTGGGCCTTGTTCGGAAACACTTATAGCTTGAAGCTAGAATTGATTTAAAAAAAATTGCAATATAGATCGGTTTTTATTTTTAACTCTATAACGCCCGGTTTATTCATCTTCAGATGGTAACTATCTGCAAGATAATTTTACTTTTCTATTGGTCGACAGATAACTGGCCGACCAATAAGACCATAGACCAATGAATTGACATTTTTTAGAAAGGAATTTTCTCTACTGCAGAAATTTTCAAAGTTCAGGCTCGTATTCCAGCAGCACTAATCTCGTGTCCTAAATAATCAATTTGTTCCTTTGAGAAAATACATTTTGACAGCCGCAAAGTGACACCTGCATTACGAAAGGTTTCAAATACATCCTCAAGAGCAACTAATCCAGACACAACACTAGAAGAATGAAGCAAGATGTCGTCCATGTATGCTAAGGCAGTATAGAAAATCTCAAGGAGTCTAGGATCTGTCTGATAGTCCATTGAAACACCGCTGGTGCATTTACGAATCCAAACGGCATCCTTAGGTATTCGTACATTACAAAGTGCGTTTTATTTCAGATCTATCCGATTGCATACCTGACATTAGTTTATCAGAAGGTGATTGAACCTGCCCTTAATACTGAATAAACCGGCCTTCAAACTGGCCGACCAATGGGATTACAAATCGCGTTCTATTTCAGATCCATCAGATTGCATACCTGACATCAGTTTATCAGAAGGTGAATAAACCGGCCCTCAATATCCGATCTTCAGCTTTTGGTAATTTAAATAGTTCTTGTTAGAGTTTTCTTAGAAGGATCCAGTATATGATTTTTGAGTAACTTTCAATGTCAGTTTACAAGCTTGTCATTTTTATTCATATCTTTGATCCCATATGTGGACATGCCGGAGTTTTTTACCGGAGGGGCCTTTGAGGTCATAGACCACCGGGGACACGACCTTGGTAATGACCTTTGGAAGGTTGCCGGTGCAGAGTGTAATCCAAAGGGAACCCGGAATTGGAACAAGCCCATTCCTGGTACTGTAAATGCAGTAATCGGTTTACTTTCTTCTGACAGCGGCATTTGCCAATAGCCTTGTTTCAAATCGATGCTGGAAATATAACGAGCTCTCCTTAGTTTATCCAGGATGGAGTTGATAAAAGGAAGCGGATAAGCGTCTTTCCGACTTACCGCATTTATCTTTTGGAAGTCAATGCAAAAACGGTACTTTCCGTCCTTCTTTTTCACGATGACTACAGGAGAACTCCTAGGACTGTTTGATGGTTCAATAATTCCGTCTTCCAATATTTTATCAACTTCGGTGTTAACAATTTCCTGCATTCTTGGATTTTGAGAGCGATATCGCTGTTTGATCGGTTCCGGATTGAGCAAATGTACAAAATGGTCCACTAGAGGAGTGGTGCCTTCAATGTGGTCAAACTTCGGCAACTCTCGGTCCAGGAATTTCTGCAAAAGCATCTCCTCAGTGGATGTCAATTCTAGGTTCGGGAGGCCATTTATTGGACCAATAGGACTACATAAGTTAGGAGGAGGCAAAAGACGGTTTTATCTCAAGGAGCCTAGGATCTGTCTGATAGTCCATTGAAACACCGCTGGTGCATTTACGAATCCAAACGGCATCCTTAGGTATTCGTACATTACAAAGTGCGTTTTATTTCAGATATATCCGATTGCATACCTGACATTAGCTTATCAGAAGGTGTTTGAACCTGCCCTTAATACTGAATAAAGCGGCCTCCAAACTGGCCGACAAATGGGATTACAAATTGCGTTCTATTTCAGATCCATCAGATTGCATACCTGACATCAGTTTATCAGAAGGTGAATAAACTGGCACTCAATATTCGATCTTCAGCTTTTGGTAATTTAAACCGTTCTTGTTAGAATTTTCTTACAAGGATCCAGTATATGATTTTTGAGTAACTTCCAATGTCAGTTTACAAGCTTGCCATTTTTATTCATATCTTTGATCCCATATGTGGACATGCCGGAGTTTTTTACCGGAGGGGCCTTTGAGATCATAGACCACCGGGGAGACGATCTTGGTAATGACCTTTGGAAGGTTGCCGGTGCAGAGTGTAATTCAAAGGGCATAACTCGGAATTGGAACAAGCCCATTCCTGGTACTGTAAATGCAGTAATCCGTTTACTTTCTTCTGACAGCGGTATTTGCCAATAGCCTTGTTTTAAATCGATGCTGGAAATGTAACGGGCTCTCCTTAGTTTATCCAGGATGGAGTTGATAAAAGGAAGCGGATAAGAGTCTTTCCGACTTACCGCATTTATCTTTTGGAAGTCAATGCAAAAACGGTACTTTCTGTCCTTCTTTTCCACGATGACTACATGAGAACTCCAAGAACTGTTTGATGGTTCAATAATTCCGTCTTCCAATATTTTTTTAACTTCGGTGTAAACAATTTCCTGTATTCTTGGATTTTGAGGGCGATATCGCTGTTTGATCAGTTCCGGATTGAGCAAATGTACAAAATGTTCCACTAGAGGAGTGGTGTCTTTAGTGTGGTCAAACTTCGGCAACTCTCGGTCCAGGAATTTCTGCAAAACCATCTCCTCAGTGGATGTCAATTATAGGTTCGGGGGGCCATTTATTGGACCAATAGGACTACATAAGTTAGGAGGAGGCAAAAGACGGTTTTATCTCAAGGAGCCTAAGATCTGTCTGATAGTCCATTGAAACACCGCTGGTGCATTTACGAATCCAAACGGCATCCTTAGGTATTCGTACATTACAGAGTGCGTTTTATTTCAGATCTATCAGATTGCATCCCTAACATCAGTTTATCAGAAGGTGATTAAACCGGCCTTTGATACTGAATAAACCGGCCCTCAAACTGGCCGACCAATGGGATTACAAATCGCGTTCTATTTCAGATCCATCAGATTGCATACCTGACATCAGTTTATCAGAAGGTGAATAAACCGGCCCTCAATATTTGATCTTCAGCTTTTGGTAATTTAAATTGTTCTTGTTAGAGTTTTCTTACAAGGATCCAGTATATGATTTTTGAGTAACTTCCAATGTCAGTTTACCAAGCTTGTCATTTTTATCCATATCTTCGGGATCATTGTAGGGTTTTCCATTTTTGTGAATAAACATGCTTCAATTCTAAAACCATAATGGCGTATGGACAAGGAAAACACCGGAATAGAAACTACTTGGACAAGAAAGAAATCCAAGGCGATGGTATTCAAAGATTAGAAAAATTTCCTGGAATAAAATGTACAAATAGAACACAGAAATAGAACCAAATGGAGGGCTTAAGTTCAATGATGAACGAGAAACTCTGTATAGAGAAAGAGTATCTTATATTTTAGATAGGCGCTCCGATCCATCAAGCAGTTACCACTTTCCCAACTGATTCTTTTCCAGGAAAGCAAGCGTATTTTTCAATTCAAAATGCAAGTGTTGGATTATTTTTTGAATAATCTCTTTTGGCAGCGCCTCAACAATAATCATCCAGACTCTTTAAAAATAAGTCTAGACGAATAATTTTCTAACAGAAAGCTTTCAATTTTAGAAAAGATTTTTATGTCTGCTGATAGATGTCAGTAGCAATGGCTTTTAAGATGTTTTTCAAATAACTAACAAATTCCCATATATATAAAAAAAAATGAAAATTGATCCTTTTTTTCTTGTTCAATATGTTTATTTTCTGCTTCGACAATTTATTGAAAAAAAAATCCATTTCCAGCTGCGTTATTCACTAAACAATTATTTAATCATCTCGATGACGTGCTCCATTATTATTCCATGTACCGTCTATAAGCGTCGCGACGTCCAAGTGTGTGTCCATTTTTAGACACACCGAAATCTCAACTTGACCGCGTTCGTTTGCGTCCACGATTTTGATCTCGAGTCCGGAATCTTTGATTCTCTCTTACTTATCACGAGTATCAAAAAAAGATAGAAGTGTTTTGGGAAGATATTTTGAGGAATTTTCCGATATTGGGAAATTGCAACGCCTTGACTCACTAGTACGCGAATTTTCAGTTTTAACCCGAAATGCGTCTAATTTAGATTTAGTTTTTGTTTGTTTTTGGCATTGGCACAATTTTCTTGAGTAAGTATCTTCAAGATAATTTTATATTTCTAGTATTTTTGAGAAAAATATCTATATTTTTAGAAGCGTAACAGGTGTACCTAATTTTATAGCCCCTGCACTCTTGCATATAATTTAAACTGGACAAGAATTGTAAATTATTAATAATACGGCTCAAAGGACGCTAGTGTGGGCTTGAAATGCTGTACAGTTGAGATTTGCTTTTTAGAACCATTAGCTTTATGCTATAATAAATGTCGTAATAATTTTTAATATAAGTTTTGAATCATTTTTATTAATATCCAACTTTACATAACTCAACTGCTTTATCGATAAAAATATACCTAATTGGGATATTTGCTTACAGATGGCTACTGTTATAGTAGGACAGAGATAATGAAGATTATATTTTTCAATTATGCAGCATCGAAATTAAACAACGAGTTTCACTTTTCTTTTAGGATATTTTTAGAGTAATGAATTCTAAAAATAGTGTCCCAGAAAGTGTATTTCGGTATTTATTTGTTTTGTTTCCGTTAGTGCAAATACACACTGGTCATAATATTCATATTGAAAGTCAAATTTAATTTTGTCCAGCTTTATTTATCAACTTTAATAATATCAAGCTTCATATTTTGAAATAAAGATCTTTTGAATCTGATAAACCCAAACTCAACCCTTTAACTTCACAGACATTGATTTGATTTTTACATTATCTTTGTCATTTGCAATCACTCTGCATCAATCTTCATCAACACAATTTTCTTCCTTTTTTTAAATGCAGAATTTCTCTATCATTCATCCTCTATTTTGCTCACTATTATCATTATCAACAATGTCTTGTTTGATAAAATATCGCCCAAAGCCGATGTCATTGTAAAATTCCTGAGTGGTTAGAGCTGGAGTACTAGTTGCAGTGTCACTTCTTAAAGGTGACAAAAGATTACTAAATTCTTCTGAAGGTGTTTCATAGGTATCAATACCTTCTTGTAATATGGTTACAGCGGCAACAAAAAGCTTTTCTTTGGGCATACTTGTGAAAATGTGAGCTTTCATCGAACTCAGTAGGCTTTGCACTCAATCTTCCACCAATTTTTCATTAACATTATTAGTATTTAAATTCAAACTTCATTTGCTTCTACTTTACTCCACTTGCCTTACAATGAGTTTACTATATTTATCGGTTGCTTCTTCCTTTTCTTCAATTTCACATTCATCCTGAAGAAGTTTGAATAATCGAGAATGTGTTGCAGCACGTTCGTAGCGGGTTGGAAAACTCTTCAATATCGCTTATGTGCCTTGATATATCCGAAATCACCCCAGAATCTAATTCTTCTTCCTCTGAATGTTCATCAAACGATTTCATATGTTGCTTTTCGTGAAAATTGTTTTACTTGTGGGCACTTCAATGGCAGATATTTTATTCTTAACTGACAATATGTTAAGGTCTTCTTTATCAGGTGTTGATATCTGTTGCTTGTTTGAGATGCTATTTCTTAAAGCTTCAATGCGTTCTTTTATCGTTTGCGGTTCCAATGATTTCGAGCGACTATTTCTGATTTCAGCTTCGTCTTCTGACGATTCAGTTTCTGAAGCTTTGTTGTTTTCGTGACTCTTACTACAACTACTATCTCTAGAGTTAGCAGAATCAACTTTTTCCTCATAAATGTTATCATCTTTATTATTTATTGGTTCATTCGAGTCATCGTTCTCTTCTTCATTCAAATAATAGCTTCGTCTTATGTCGTTTTTGATTTGATTTGATACCGAAAAACTATTTTCGATTCTTCCCTAAAACTTGCAATTTCTTCACGTGGTTCAGTACACGAATTACTTTGCTCAGCAACATTTATTGTTTGTTCATCATCAGTATATTCTTCATTGGTAATTTTTTGTTCTGCTGGTTCACTTTCTTCACTTTGTTCTGATTCACTATCAACAGTATCAACACTTTCTTCTTTAATGATATTTTCCGGTTTGTTTGATGAAATATCGCCCAAATTCCATAGGCCTGAATTGCGTTACAGGGCCTCCAGTTAAGAAGCAAAACTATTAACTCTCATCAACATATTTCCTGGAACAACTCGATTTTCTTCATTGTCTTCATTTAACTCATCATATCTCTTGGGTCCGACTAATATGAATTCATCTCCGGATGTGTCCAAGTGTAGATTTTCTTCTGGATCATCATTGTTTGGATTTTCTTTAGGATCATCACTCTGATTATCAGATGTTTCTGCATCTGTTTATAGGAGTTACTTTCTTGTTTTGGTTCGTTATCAGATTGGATATTTTCACTATCATCATCGTCATCAAATGCAGCCTGGACTTGAAAGCCAGGAAGGAATAGCTTGTCCGTTGCTAGATTTACGTTCAAACATGCGTTCATGAGGTGTTGCATCTTCGACGATTCGAGTACCCTATCTCATTGTTCTGTTTTCAGACCACAAGACTTCAGTGTCAGCGAAATTTTTTTCCATATTGTACCATCGAATCTTTCTACTTTACCATTGCCTTCCGGATTATAAGCAATCGTTCTGCTAGTGGCTATACTTTTTGAATGAAGATATTCCTTCAGTTCTTTTGACATGAAAGAGCTTCCTCGATCAGAATGTATCTGCGAGGTAAGGCATTCCAAATATTGAATATAGATTTGTGGAACATTTAATCACAGACCCTGCAGTCATATCAGGGCAGGCCTAAGTAAAAGGGAATGTTGAGAATTCATCTACAATAAATTGTTAATATAGTTAACGATTTGTTATACTGTTTAAACACATTCTTAAAGAAACCCAAACAAAGGAGATGAACATGGAGAAATCCAAATGGTACGATAAAAAATGAGATTGATTGATTCTCTGCAATAAAAGGAATATCTGTAGTACTGATGTAACAGTTTTAAATCAGTTTGACACTGGAAGCGACCACCGGTTGATCAAAGCTACAATTTCCCTAAACCTGAGAATTGAAAGAGCAAAACTTTTCAATAAGCATATTTTTCCAACTGCAAACAAAATAGACGTCCATAAACAGGCCTTTCGAAAAGAGTTGGAAAAGAAATTCAAACCCATTGTCAACATAGATAAAATGAACTTGAATCATCTCGCCGAGAAAATAGTCCGAGACATCCACACAATAACTAAGAAAATTTGTTCCAAAGTTAAAATACCAAGACACAATAAGATAACGCCAAACACACTAAAACTTATGAAAGAAAGGAAAACAACTTCCACAGATGCAACTGAGTACCAGGAGCTCAACAACAGAATACAGAGGGAAGTGAGAAGGAATGTGAGATTTTATAATACCAGAACAATATAGACCGGTGCATAACGACCATTTTTTTGAAACGATTTTCTCCCGTCTTCCATTAAGGGTGGTTATTCTTTATGCAATAAGAATTGGAATGGCTCAAATTTCAAAGAGCCCCGCGTGTGACAATACAATGATATGCTAATTTGAAAATGTAATGAAAAGTGGAGATGTGGATCAATATTATTCCGTCTGCCACACATTGTGAAGGTAATTTTAACAAAAATGAGTACAAAGAAGCTAAACGGCGGAAACCCTAGGTTAGTATAATGTGTCATATTACTAATTTTAAAATGTCGCCAAAATCGGACATGTGGATCAACGACCTCCCGTCTGCCAAATTAAATTTATGTTACATTTACGATGTAATACATCAATAAGTATTGCCACAGTAGCAAAACCATCCGATCCTTAGTTTTCGAAATACAGTGAAATAAACAAAAAAAAAGCCCTATTTTTGCACTAAATATTGTTTATAAAATCCCCTAAAAGTAAGAAGATGTTACATTTTTGGTTTTTTAGCATCTATAAATGATCCTTAACAATACTGCATCGATAGTTTGCTGTTAAATTTTATGTTACGAAAAAATTTATCTGCCCTGGCCTATAAAATGAGAAAGGTCCATTGAGGACAACTCTTACATGAAAGTTCTTAGATCGCCTGGAAAAAGAAAACTTGTCAAAATGAAGGATGAGAATAACCATAAATTGACTGGAAGAGACGAAATCTCTAAACATATAGAAATCTTTTATTCTCGTCTCTACACCTCCGTTGTACGGTATCCTAATACTCAGAAAGTTACCGTTTGCAATGTAGGCTCAGAAGAAATTCCTGATATAACCAAAGAGGAAATAAGGGTGGAACTAGGACAAATGAAGAACCGTAAATCACCTGAGGAAGACAGAATAACCTGTGAATTGCTAAAAATGGATAGATACTTTATGGAACAATTCTACAGGTGTTATTTAATAAATGTTCATCTGAAGGCAAAGTCCTTGAAACATGGCACAACGCAGAAGTTATTTTGCTTTTTAAAGAGGGGGACATCACGGACATTGAAAATTATCGACCTATCAGCCTTCTGTCCCACCTTCACAAACTATACTAACAAGGATCCTTACAAACCGACTGACAACTAAATTAGATGCCTATCAACCAGTGGAGCAGGCAGGATTTCGAAAGGAATACAGCACTATGGTCAGACCATTCAAATGTTAATAGAGAAAACAACAGAATACAGTATACCACTTCATTTCGCCTTTATAGACTTTCATAAGGCATTTGACTCTATTGAAGTATGGGCTGTACTGCGTGCGATGGATGGAGCAAGGATTGATCCAAGATATTCTACCCTTCTCAAGAATATATACAGAAGCGCAACTTTCCGTGTGAAAATTACGCGGAAGACCTGAGAACCGATTTTTTTTTTTAATAACAGGGGAGTTCGCCAAAGTGATCCTATATTTCCAAAACTTTTTACGTTGGAAGACGTTTTTAAAATGCTACCGTGGGAAAATAAAGGTGTCAACGTTGATGGTACCTTTTTAAACCATTTACGCTTTGCCGATGACATAGTGCTTATTAGTTCAGATATCCAGGAGCTTAATATACATATATATCTGGGTCATGTTATTAAAATGGGAAAGGAAAACCAAACGGTGGAGATAAAACGGAGAATAAAACTGACATGGATAGCATTTGGAAAACTGAGTCATATAGTGAGAAATCCTGACATCCCTATAAATCTTAAATGAAAAGTCTCTAACACATGCATCCTGCCTGTGAGACAAAGACTTTAACCCAGAAGTACACCAACAACCTTAGGACAATGCAAAGGGCCATGGAACGGGCAATACTTGGCGTTAGTCTACGAGATAAAATCCGCAACGAAGAAATAATAAGAATGAAGGTAGTGGACATAATACAGCGAATCGCTGAGCTTAAGTGGCAATGGGTTGGGCATGTTGCCAGACTGGGTGTGGACAGATGGGTAGCAAAACTTGTACACTGGAGACCACGTCAAACAAAGAGGAGCGTCGGCAGGCCACAGAAGAGATAGTTAGATGATATTAAAAGAATAGCAGGAGGAAGTTGGTACCATACAGCGAAAGACAGAACAGCATGGAAACAAATGAGAGATATGATAGAGTTTTTGAGAGAAACGCAACTGGTCATTGGTCACCCAGACTGGCTTAGAATTGCTGCTATTGAATGTTCTTAGGCGTTTGTTTCCACCTGTAGTAATGCAAATATCTTAGAAATAAGGCTTTAATCGACAAAATTAAGCATAAGATTAACTTATCAATTAATTAATGACACAATCTTGAATGACAGACAAATACAGGTAGACATGGTAGTAAAACAAAGGTGTATCACCACACTGCCTTCATCTTCAGTGTCAGAATCTTCAGCCGCGTCAGGTGGCAGGTGGTCCATTGTAAATTTGTTCCAGTGTTGCATTAATTAATATTTTTTTTTTTTGTAAATAAGTTGGAGTTATAGTGATTCTGATGTAGCAGATTTGCTTTTAACTTCAAAATGTTGCCTTAAACTTTGAACATCACTTATTATTATTGGTATTATTATTATTATTGCTGTTATCCAAGCAATTTCTTCTTCTCAGAGATGACCTTCTGCTATTATTATTATTGGAAATTTCGTCCATAGAAAATTATCCATTAAACTCTGCATTTCCAGCTGTTTGATGACTATATGGATATGGAGATATCATTGGAAGGTATCCAATAATAACTATAGTAATAAGGATCGTAGTATCTTTTTTTTTCTTCTTCACTCTGAGTGTTTTTGATTTATATAATTGTTAAGGTCGGGCCTAAGATGATATTGGACAAAAAAATTATAGGTTCTTTTCATTGGGCCTTCTTTATTATAAAAATTCAGCTTCCTTACAAAATTCATAAAAACATAAGATTGATAAAGTCACGGTAGTTTAGGTTAAGCTGGATTATCAAACTGCTATTTATAACTCACGCGTTATTTGCCCGGTTTTAAATATATCTGGACGTTATTGGAACATAAATAAAATTTTGGAAACTGTTCCCGACAAAAAAAAAATCCAACCGGCACACTAATACACGCACAAATCCTGATACTAGAGTGATTTCGTCTGGTCGGTCAGTGTGGTGGTCTAAAAAATTGATAAGTGTGTTAATAAGTGAAATTATTAATTATAGTGAAGGTATTATTATGGTTTTTGGGAACTTTTAGGAAGGTACGGTTTTGTGAGGAAATAAAATTACGCTTAATAACACAATGCGATAATAATAAATATTAAATTTAATTATCGGAACAACCTGATGACATTGTATATTCCATATAAAGATTTTAAACCGAATAAGGCAAGGTCTCTTTCAACCAGCTTGATTTTTACCTTTATGTTACTACAATTTAAAAAGAAACTTTTTTGCTTGCAGGTGTCTATTTTGTCAAAATTAATGCCACATCGTTTTTCAGGAAATATATCCGCTTTCTAAAAGTTCCATATGGCGTTCTTCGTTTGTCTTTGGGTTGTAGGATCGCATTTGCATATTCATGCTTCGTTAAGCGCGAAACCGCGATAATAATTAAACGATTATGATAATGTTTGATGATCAAAAAATATAGGAAATTGTGTGAAAATAAACCACGTACGTATAAAATTACGAGTGCAAATTTCAAGTACTTATACGTATTTCAAATTTCCCAATTTCCTTGACCTAAATATTTTCCCTAAAAAAAAACAAGACACTTTAAACTTAACCCCGCTGCGAAAAGACGTACTTTACACACATTTCAAGCACATCCTTATTTTATTTTTAGCAAGTAAAGCAAATAGTCGGTTTTTAGTTCAAAATCCGCGTGACTCATGTATGTAGGTCTCTGGTTAATATAACCCAGGACAACAAATTTCGTATTTTTGTCCTAATGAACTGACCTTAATTGCTCGAGAACTATTTTCTTCCATTTTACGTTTAGGGTAAACAGGGGTAAACCTAGTTTTTTGAGTTCAAATAGGGAGAAAGATGAAACAGATTATTACCACACGTCTAGTTGAACTTCAGAAACTTTTAACACAACCTTTGTGAACAAAAATAAAGTTCTCAACTGGTATGCGAGTCTTCTTATTGAAACTTGTGGAGTGACGTCTATTTCGTCATATAATGGTATTGGCATTTCCATTTAAATTTTTCTGAAAAACCAATAAGTTACTTCAAGTAACTCCCAGATACATATACATATGGGTCACCGTAGTTTATATTCCAAGTCATGTGCGTATTAGCAAACGGGCACCGTACGTGACTAATGTGTAAACCCTGCAAATTAACCAGGCGACGTTATGCACCAAGAGATTTTTACACCCACTTAAGTTGGCGACATACTTAAGAGCTAAAAGGCCTATAAATCTTAAGCCGGGTCTTTTTGTTTTGTCTCATATTTTAAAATACGTGTAACCGACCTATGCATTTAAGTCCGCAGACAAATATCAACTAATAATTACCATCCTTTGTTCTAGACAGGCGCGGCTCCCTTGTTTAGGTGCGGACTTTGGGCATAATCTAACATCTACCGGACACCAACCTACTGTCAAGTTAAAATCTAAAGTAAGTTTTTTTGCTCTGGTTTAAAGGAACAAAACAAATAGTGGTTTTCCTTAGAACCCAAACTCAAAAATGGATCCTCCAGCGTGCGTACAAAACGCTATGATGACCAAAGACAAGAAACCTTTCACTTACACCCCGGGAGGTATCGATTTGTCGGAAGTGCGTTCTCCAAGAATGCAACGTCGTATCGAACGCAACGCTAATTTAGGAGGTGTGTCCGACGTGCCCAGACCTCCACCACCTCAAAATGTAGGCCCTTTACCACCATCTGCTTTGGCTGCTATGAGACCTCAAACACAGGTAAGCAATCTTTAATTCATTTTGTTAGGGACCGGAGTTGATCGATGCCACTTATGTTAGGAACCCAGAGTTTTCAGCTGGCTCCAATGTAGTAATTTCGGATTATACCTATTATCAGTAAAAAGTAAAACTCGGAATTACTCGAAAATTTAGTTTATTTTAACTCTGATGAAACTGATTTTACATAAGTGCGACTGCTACAATCCGACTGTTCGCTATCGATCTTAAAACGCGACTCTTCCTCTAATTCTAGAATCTAAAAGGTAACCTGAAGGACAACTAAGCTAAGTTTATAATTCCCAAGGCAATTCTCACCATCTGGTCAGGGAAAAGTACTCTATCTTTGGCGGCAAGAACACCCTCCATGGGTTATATTGGGAGAGCAGATTTTGATCGTGGCGCCATCTTAGACTAGGATTCAGCACTATATCTCACTTTTGCTGTAAAAGTACTGACTGTTTAATAGGCCGACCAAAAATCAGTTATGTAATTGGGAAAACCCAGGATAAGGAAAACAAGTTTCCTATTATCCACTGATGTGAAAGGACCCCGCACAAAACTTATGAAAAAGTGGTTCCGGTCAAATCCAATAAAATTTTAGTATGATATAGTTCGTTGACCTCCTGATCAAATTTCATCATTGCCACAAAAAAAATCGTTCGGTTGTTAAGAAGTTCACAAGTGCTTGTTTTTCACCATTATTGGTAGTACCTGAAAAAGACAAAACTTGGAGATTTTGTGTTGATTTTCGCAAGACTAGCCGTGTTAGTGAACGTGATGCTTACCCATTACCATACATTTTTGATATATCAGGTAAGCTAGGAGTTGCCAAATATTTTTCTTCGCTGGATATTCAAAGTGCTTATTGGCAGATTGAACTTGAACCTTCTTCTCGCCAATATACAGTTTCCACTGTGCCGTCCAAGGGTCTTTTTCAGTTCGTCAGGATGCCATTTGGTCTTCATAATGCTCCTGCAACTTTCCAAGGTTTAGTAGGTGATCTTTTTGATGCAGAACTGGAACCATACATTTTAAAATATTTGGATGATATTATCATTGAATTCATTGCATTGCACAAAATTGCATTCTTTTTTTCAAGTCAAACCATCTAGAGCATATTTAAAAACGAGTGAAAAAACTCGCAAGGATCAGCAGGATCTGTTTAAAATATTTGACTCGAATATAATTTATGAAATTGGAAATTGATTGAATTGAATCCATTGGTAATTCCGATCTGCGACGGCCATCAAACTCAAAAGAAAGTACCTTGTTGACCAGATATAAATAATGTGCCACTTTGTCCCAATTAACCATCTTCGTTACATATCCCTTATAGTTATCAAGCTCCCAATAAAAAATATAACTTAAATATGAAAATCCATAGTCTATAATTTTACCTTGATCCGCAACCCGCCACCTTGAAAAGGCTGGAACTCGAAAACGGCTCGACCGATTTTTTTGTGGCAATGATGAAATTTGATCAGGAGGTCATGAACTATATCATACTAAACTTTTATTGGATTTGACCGGAACCACTTTTCCTTAAGTTTTGTGTGGGGTCATTTTGGGTATTTTTTTTTGCTTTTCCATCCACAGACGCATTTCGATCTATCAGATCTCATCAGTGTGGCTAGGAAAACAAAGAAAACCAACCCAAGTTTAGTGCCTGCAGGCAAAGTAGAAGTAATACGAAGAGCGAATTTTGAAGTAAAGGTACAACACCGGTTCAACAGCAAATCCCATGTAAATCTCCATAAGAAAACGCTAAGGTCGATTCTGGAACTTTTTGTACCGTTCAAGGTCATCACTCGGCAGCCAACAGCTCAGGCTGATCGCACCTCAAGATCTGGGTGTGCGTCCGTCACCTGTCCCCATCACTCGTCTAAGACTAGGATCACTTTTCGTATTACTTCTACTTTACCTGTGTTAAAATAGCCAATAATAATATTTCTTCAGTTGAGGTTGTTGGCAACACCTCAATTTCAAGGTAGTCAGTCAGCTGATTGTGACAGAGTGTGCTTTTGTTTTTTAGTACCTACATCCGCCAAGTATTGTATTTTTCGTTTTCTCTAATTAATAGAAGTTATTAATCATTCCGTATCTAAAGTGTTTGTTTATTGACCCATTTTCCCACCGCGTAACAGGTTATGGGCACAGTGGACTTTCAAATCGGAAAAAACGTGTCTAAAACCGGATTTTAGTTTAGAGGTTATGGGTCGGCGAAATTAGGTACGGGCGGTTAAATCGATAGCCGCGTCGATAGTTGTTGGTGCGAAATACCCGGTTTTGGGGAGAGTAAAATATACCTGGTATGGGAGAAAGTTAGTTCGAAATTTGAATACCCGGTTTACAAGGGGACAGTATAGGACCAACAAATTAAAAACACCATGGAGGCATCATCAGGAGCAGCACAAGTAACTAAATTAGTAGGAGACAACTGGATTAACTGGAAATTCCAGATTCAGATAGCGTTGAAATCCAAAGGCTTTTTTACAATAGTCACAGGGGAATCTGCTAGGCGAACAACGGGGTCAACTGAAGATTGGAACAGGAAGGATGCAAAAACACAAGAGATTATAGTGTTCAGCCTGGAAGATACAATTGTAAACCATGTTCTTCCTTGCAATACAGCAGCTGAAATATGGGAGAAGCTCAAGTCCATATATGAATACCAGTCCAAGGTGAGTGTTCATCTGTTACATCAAAAGTTTTTCAGTCTTTAGTATAAAAATTGTGGTGTGGCTGACTTTATATCACAATTATAAGGGACCAATTGAAGCTTTTGGGTAAAGATTTAAGTGAGAAAATGTTGATAACCAAAGTGCTTATGTCTCTGCCTGAAATTTTGAAGCATTTTATATCAGCATGGGAATCTATCAGTAGCACTAATCAAAATTTGACTGAATTAATCTTCACTCATGATCGAAGAAGAAAGAGCCTCATGCAGATGCTTTATTTTCCAAGTTCAAAGGGCAAGAACAAGGTGTCCAAAATGTTTTCTTTACAAAAATTGCCCTCGTAATAATCCCAGAGAAGATGACAGGAGAAATAGACTAAAGTGCCATTATTGTCATAAACCATAGACTATCATACAGGGGCATGTTATCATAGAATACATGTTCTGAAAAAGAGTTCGAGATTATCACTACGTAGCACATGACATTTGGTTTGAGCTCTGGACCAAGAATAGTGTCGATCATTCTTTGCCATGTTGCAGGAGCATTAGATAAACCAAATGGCATCCGACAGAATTGGAAGAGTTCTCTGCCAGGGACAGTAAACTTCTTGGAAGATGATCTCAAACGCACCTACCAAAATGCTGACTTAATATCCATGGAGCTGATATATTGAGTCTCTCTCAACGGATCCAAAATGGTGGAAATATATAGAAATTCTGGATAAAAAAGGGCATTAAGCATGAAAGGACGTGTGCACCAAGAATATTGTTCCACTCAAAGGACTTACCTAAAAACTTATGGGCAGAAGCCGTTAACAAAGTCGTTTATGTGCTTAATCGAGTAGGAAAGTGTCCTGTAAATCCTTAGAACTCTGGAATGGGAGAAAGTTTAATCCGAATTATTTGAAGCCTTTTGAATCAGAGATATCCGTTTATATTGGTTACAGTGAGACAGCTAAAGGATATAGGGTGTTTTATCCAGATAAAAATAAAATTGAAACACGAAACACATCAAGATGTTGTATCTATTCCTCCAGAAAACCATGTCGAATCGAAATAAAAGGAAAACATAGTGAACTTGGACTTAAATGACAGGGTGATCTTAAATCAGGACAATGAAGAGGATCTTAGTGAAGATGAAGATTCCGTGGCTCAAAGAAATCAGGAAGAACCAGTTGCTGAAAATCGAGCATCAGATTCTAGAACAAGAGAGTGAAGATGAGACTGCAGGTGAAAAAGAAGAAGACGATGAGGTTCAGAGAGACAGAAGTGGCAGACCATTGAAGAGACCAGGCTGGGATGGACGACTGCAATGTCTGACACCAGTTTTATTTGTTTGGAGGAACCGCCATCATTTAAAGAAGCGATTGTGCAGAAAAATTCTCTCATTAATAGAAGTTATTGAACATTATTTCCTTATCTAAAGTGTTTGTTTATTGACCCAATTTCCCACTGCGTAACAGCCGCAAGCACTAAACTTGGGTTGGTTTTTTCTTTGCTTTCCTAGCCACACTGATGAGATTTGATAGATCGAAACACATCTGTGGATGGAAAAGCGAAGAAAATTTACCCAAAATTTTCACATTCATGTGTATTTACAATAATTTGGGTTCCTGCAATAGAGGTACCGAGTACCGACAAATGAAAACATTTTGTTGGGATATTGGTGTTTACAGGACATTGGTTGTAATAATAGTTCTAGCCGGCACATCTTTAAGACCTAAATAAACAATACAGTTATAAAGTACCTAATTGATGAGGGACTAAATCGAACAGATGGTGGAATTTGTTAAAGAGAGAAAATGTAGTGAACATAATTAATTGTTATTAATAAAATGGTTGGTTCACAACAACTTCATAGATAAATGTTGATATTTTTTTTTAGGTCCAAGTCTTTCCCGGTCCACCCCCAGCTCCACCCATGCAAAAAAATATCCCACCCCCACCTCCACCGCCCACCTGTCCTCTTCCTACCCAAAAGGTGCAGACAGGCGCCAGCGAAGTTTTGGAAAGGCCCGATATGACGAAAATTATACCTGAAAATCCGATGTCTTTGTTGAGGAAAACCGGTGGTCCGACTCCTAGAAAGTCTTTGGTAGAGCAGATGTACGAAGCTCAACCACCTTCACCGGAACGTCCTCAACCAATTTCAACTCCAGTTCCACCACAACAACAATATCAACCCCAATATCAAGCTGCTCAACCTCAATATCAAGCTCCCCAACCTCAATATCAAGCTCCACAACCTCAATATCAAGCTCCTCAACCTCAATATCAAGCTCCCCAACCTCAATATCAAGCTCCCCAACCTCAATATCAGGCTCCTCAATCTCAATTTCAACAACGTTCGCCTGAGTCTCCTAAACCATCACCCTATCAGCCTCCGATCATTGAAAGACAAGCGACCGTGCCCAGACAGGAACCACCACAAAGGAATAATGTTGTTAGTTCAAATGTTGGTACTTTGTATATTCCTCCATTGAATCAGCAGGTAATATTTTTCTCGAATTACTACGATCATTGTTAATTAATTGAAATATACATATATAGCAACAAAAGGTAGTTTCACCTCCAACCCCGCCGGAACGTACGCAGCCCCAAGTCCAATCTCCAGGTACCCCGACATTAAAAGAAGCCCCTCGTCCGTGGCAACAACGCAACCGCCAACAAGAGTTGCCAGCTTGGGCTAAAAAAGACGAGCCTCCAGCTCCTAATATGCAACAGAGATGGCAACCACCAGCAGCAGGACCGGCTCAACAACCGAGATCTCCGCAACCTCCCAATACTTATCCAGTGCAAATTGAAGTTCGCACGGTTCCATATCAACCAGACGAAGTGGAAAGTATTGAAAGGAAACCGAATGCTGTTTATGTTACTCAACCGGTTGTTTTGCAACATCCTGGAACGAAAATTGAACCTCCATATCAAGGTAAAAATGTTTTTTTTTTTTCTGAATTAGATGAAAGTTCATCAATATTTTCTCATAAGTTCTTCACGGTCTAGTGAGAGTAGGTTTCTCTAGGGCAACAATTCTAGTAGAGGTGGCTCATCAAGTTTTTCATCAGAGTTTTGAGGTGTGCTTTCATTAGATTTTCATTTCTTTTTTGACAGTCATAACTTAGGCATTGTGTATATGAAGTTAGTTATCATTGAGAACTGGAATCTTCCAAACATATCAATGTTGGATTTGGCAGCATTTCCCACAAACTTGTTTTCAATGTCATTTTGTTGGCGGTAATTGGCGTCTCTTCAAAGAGATGATCATTTAAAGCAATTTCTTGCTAGTAACCCTAATGCTGGGCTTTATCAAAGGCCTGTCAAGAAAATCTCTAGCACAATGTTTGTTATCTTTGTACTATATGTTACTAGATTCTTTTGGGTGTTTAGGTTCACAACCACAGCAATATCAACAGCAGCAAACTAGACAGCAAGTACAACAACATCAAACTAGAACGGTTGAAACTGGAACTAGGATTATTCCTATTCAAATTGAGGGACGGACTCCTCCGACTACACCAGGAGATAGGTAAGATTTTCATGTACTTCCTAAAAATACTTCATATTGAAATTAGTTATCAGCCAAGTGCAACAGTAATAAGAATAATTCCTGTTCGTATTGATGGGCGATCTTTGTCTTCATCCTCAGAAGATGGAAGGTATCTATAATGTGTGAATATGTTTTCGTAGATTTTATAGAAGAAAGTCTATGAAATTTGTTTAGTTTTTATCCCTTTTTTTAGCAAGAATTAGGAATTCTTCTTGACCTATCATTTTTTATTGAACTGCGCACCTACGTCAGCAAACGCAATAAAAATCGAAAAGTTTGCAAGACTAAACATACACAACTGACACGTTCTATTTTTATAATACATTTAGCTTAACATTGTCTTGAAAACTTAGAAGTGTGGGCGGTTTTTTGGCGGCGCATCCAGGATAAATGTTCTGCCGATAGCTTTATGATAAAATAATTTTTATTAATTCGAAGGCAAAGTATATTTGACGCCTGTGTATTTTTACATTTTTGAATTCTATTTCCTTGCTGTAACATTGAAAGCAACTGTTGGACAGTTTATTTGTCAGAATTCATAATAATTTCGATGCACACAGTACCGATATACACCGTTTGGGAGGTACCTAAAAAGACTTGTAAATAACTTTGAGGGTGGTTTAAGGAGGTAGAACTTATAATTGCGATGCATCGAAAAGAGGGTTTTTGTGAAAATATGGACATTTCCACCCTAGTCTCGGGCACAAATCTTACAGGCTGTTGTAGGCAGTACCGATATACACCGTTTGGGGTACTTGAAAAGACTTGTAGATAACTTTGAGGATGGTTTAAAGAGGGTAAAACTAATAATTGCGATTCATTGGAAAAAGGGTTTTTGGGAAAATATGAACATTTCCACCCCAGTCTCGGGTCTCGGGCATAAATCTTACTGGATGTCGTACTGGATGTCGTACTGGATGTTGTAGGCAGTACCAATATACACCGTTTGGGGTACTTAAAAAAACAATAACTTTGAGGGTGGTTTAAGGGGTAAAACTAATAATTACGATTCATCGAGAAAAGAGTTTTTGTGAAAATATTGTTACTTTCACGGGTTCGCAGATAAGTGAGACTACTTTTTCGAACTTTAACGAATTTTATTAAACACAATAACATAAAAATCACACGAAATTTAACACTACTTTACACTCCGAACTACTCCAAATAAAGCTGATACGGCACGATTATTTTCGAACGTGGTTATTTAGTTCTTGACTTCACAGTTTACTGCACTTGTCGTACGTCAATCGGAACTGATCCTTACGCGGTGCGCACCGGGGCTTTTATAGTTATGTGCGTCCTTCTCTAACACGCTCGAATTTTCGTGATTTAGTTCATCTTGAAAATAGTCGAATTTTCTGGCTTATTTAACTGTAGTTATAGGGGGCAATCAAAAAGTACGAGTGGCGGGTTTATAACACTGCCCCCTTCCTCAAAGCTGTTCGCTCCGAACAGCTTATTCCAATCGCATCCAAGTCGGTGCGCTCTTGCCCTTGTATGGAGCCAGCCTCTCCATGTGAACGACCTTGGGCTTGGTTTTGGGTGTTAGTTGTATCCTGTATACCAAGTCGTTGATTTTCTTAATGACCTTGTATGGTCCTTCCCATGATCGTTGCAGTTTCGGACTAAGTCCCTTCTTTCGCTGTGGCTGATACAACCAGACAGCATCGCCTTCATTAAAGGTGTTCAGTGACTGCCGTTGGTCGAGTATCATCTTCATTCTGTCACTGGTCAGACGTAGCTTATTTCTGGCGAAATCGTGTACCTACGCCTAGTCTGTCCTGGAGATCAGCCACGTAAACTGGAAGTACAGCCTCGTTTTCATCGACTGGAGGCCTGCGCGCCAAACATCAAATCTATTGGAAACTTCATTTCTCTTCCAGTCAACAGCATAGATGGTGTATAAATAGCCGGTGGACTCATGCTGAAAGCTCCTATAAGCAAGAAGGAAAAGAGACACTAGTTTATCCCAGTCTCGCTGGTGATCATCCACAAACATCGAGAGGTATTGATTGATGGTCCGATTGTGCCTCTCGGCCATTCCGTCCGACTGTGGGTGAAGTGCAGTTATCCTCGTTTTTCTTACTCCCAGTAACCTCATCAGTCGTTTCCATACCTCGGACTCAAAATTCCTTCCCTGATCGGTATGAAGTTCCATCGGTACCCCATGTCTGGATATGACGTTTTCCAGCTATGATTCTGCAACAGTAACTGCTTCCTAATTGAGCATGGGAACTACTTCTGGCCACTTTGAACAATAGTCCATAGCAACCATGAGGCACTTATTACTTGACTCCGTCGTAGGAAAAGGACCTGCAATATCCACGGCGATTCTCTCCCAAGGGGAACCGGACAAGTACTGCTTCATTTCTCCACGGGATCGCGTCTTGGGTCCTTTTTTAGAAGCACAGAGATCGCATCTCTACGACAGTTGATTCAATAGTACCTATCTCTTACTCGAGTCAAGGTCCTATCAACTCCAAAGTGTCCGCCACTCCTACTATTGTGCAGTTCTTGAGGCACTCTGTCCACCATGGTCCGTGGCACAACGGTCTGATATACTAGGTTTTTTCCATCTGGACTCTCCTATTTTCGAGTGATCAAGTCATCTCGCAGGCACAACGAGTCCCATTGCAGCCAGTATCCCTTCACCGTTTAACTCAAACTAGTAATTTCTTGCCATCCAGGTTGTTGTCCGTCTTGTAGCCAGTCACGCACAATTTTCAATTCCTTATCCATATTTTGTTGTTCTTCGAAGTCTTCTCTCGTAATGTTCTCATCAGTATTAGCGTCGTTGTCGGAATTCTTAAGCCTTATTTGTTGAACGACTCCAGCATTTTTGGTTGCCTCCTTTTCCTTGCCTCTGGCAGAATTTGCATGAGCTGTCAATACATGGTCTTCGTGATAGGCTGTCGGCGTTGGCATGACTCCTTCCTTTGCGATGTTTGATTTGGAAGTCATAACTTTGTAATTTCTCTAACCAACACGCTATTTTACCCTCCGAATTTTTGAAATTGAGCAGCCATTGCAATGCAGAATGGTCGGTTCTAACTAAGAACTTCCGGCCATAGAGAAAGCTGTGGTAATGTTAAATAGATCTTACTACTGCCAGAAGCTCCTTTCGGGTGACACAATAATTCTTTTCTGCGTTTCCAATGGACTTATTGAAGTATTCAATTACTACTTCTTCGTCGTTTTGAATTTGGGACAGAACAGCCCCTTTTCCACTTTGCGAAGCGTCGGTGTCTAACATAAATAGACCTTCATCCCTGGTATACGCCAGAACTGGATTACTAGTCAATTTATTTTTCAGCTCCACGAAAGACCGTTGACATTCAAGTATCCAATCAGAACGAGCGTTCTTTTCAGTTAGTTCATGTAAAGGCTTCGCAATCTTCCCAAAATCCTTGACTAACCGGCGGTTGTAACTGCAGAGTCCCAGGAAGCTTCTAACTTCATGTTTATTCTTTGGTCTGGGCCAATCTCGCACAGCTTGGACTTTATCTGGATCTGTCTCTATTCCTTTTGATGAGACGACATGGCCGAGGAAGTTTACTTTTTCCTGAAATAGGTCACACTTCTGGGATTTACTTACAGATTGGCAATTCGAATCCTGGCAAAAACTGCCTTCAAATTCGACAGGTGTTCGTCAAAATCTTTGCCAAACACCATGGCATCATCTAGATATACCATGCACGTTTCCCAAGTCTAGTCCTCGCAAAACTAACTCCATCAGTTTTTCAAAAGTGACAGGTGCATTGCATAATCCAAACGGTATGACGTTAAATTGATATAAGCCGTTTCCTGCACTAAATGCGGTCTTCACTTTATCCTCTTTATTGAGTTCCACCTGTCAATATCCACTTTTCAAGTCCAGGGTTGAGAACCACTTGGATCCTGATAGGGTGTTAAGGGTATCGTCAATCCGGGGTAATGGATAGCTGTCTTTCTTCGTAACGTCATTCAACCTTCTATAATCCACACAAAACCTGGTGGAACAATCTTTTTTCGTAACTAATATGACCGGCGATGACCATGCGGACTATTAGATTCTTCTATGATGTTGCCCTTCAGCATATTTCCTTAAGCATGGTGTTAACTTGCTGTTGCTTTGCAAAAGACAGTCTTCGTGGTGGTTGGCGAATCGGTATAGCACTTCATGTGTTGATGCGATGATCTACCAAATTAGTTCGTCCAGTAATTTTATCTTGCACAAAAACACCAGCCTCTTTCTGCACAAAGTCAATAGCTTTCTTCTTTTCTTGTTGGCCTAAGTGATTCCAGTTCTTTTCAAACTTCTCCAGGGTCCCAATTCTCCAGTTACGACTAAAAATCTCGCAATCGACAAATCACGCATCTGAATGTCGAACGCGAATCCTAAACTCTATTCTCGGTCGGTATACAAATTTAAATGACGCATTCGATAATTGTCGAATGTTTAAACATGGCAACATCTAAATTTTATAATATTGGCATGTTTTTGACAACTGTAAAGTTTCAGAATTTTTGATCATTCAAATAAAAGTGTTGTTTTTGGTGAAAAATTATATGTTCTAGGTCCTATTCCGTGCGATTACGATTACGATTTGTGGTAAAGTAGTAGAAAAAAAGAAGAATACACGAAGTTCTTTAAAAAGTGAACATGCTTACCTTGGCTTCAATAGAAATTGAAGAAGCCCTAGTACTATCCCTTATCGGATAGTACTAAGGGTACACCAACTCAATTATGTCCCGGGGTCCGGACGATTTACGGCAGTGGATCTTTTAGTAGATTAGATAGTAGATTCGAGAAAAAAAATTGCGGTAAATTCCCTCAAAAATCGGAATCTTTAGTGACTCCATCAAAAAACAATCAAATTCAAGAAAATATTTGCAACTTTGTCACATTGCAATAAAACATCTCTTTTAAATAACACCTTATGAAATTTAAATTATTTTTGAGTTCCCGATTGCTCGCTTCGCTCGCCAAATCTCAAAGAGAAGATCCTCTTGTTAAAAACTGAATCTTTACGGAAAAAATTACAAAATTACTGTCTGTAATGTCAACTGTAGCCAAGTCCCGTGTTAATCCTTTAGTTAATCGAGAGTTTTTTTTACAAAAAGGCACTCAGACATACAATTCAACACATTTCTGTACTCATAGAATCTCCTAGGAAATCTATTATTTTCTACTTAAATCGCAAGATTTTCAATAACCGCTAAAAACTCCATTTCTTCGTAATCAGTCATTTTCATGACAAAAATAAATAAAATTGACACTTCGTGATTCTATCTCGCGTGATCTTACCCACTCGTAATTATGTCGATCAAAAAAAGGCGACGGTGACATTCGAGAATTGGATTATGCCAAAAGGTATCGAGATATGTGATTCTCGTACGCGACATTGGGAAATCGTAATTCGAGAATTGGGCCCCAGAAGCTCTTTTGATAAATGTGCTTCATTTGACACAGGCTCCTTCTTTGGGCATCTGACTACTCGTATAGCTGGTGTCCATCTGCCAATGACGTCTCCTTTCTTCAATGTCACACGGTTTGTTGTTAGATTGGCCACTCCCACTGAAAAAACAGTGTTGGAATTTACTAAGCAATATGCCACAAGTGTTTCTTTCTTGGTTGCATGTTTCCTGTTGGTTCCACGATCATGGTGTTCACGCCTTTTAGCTGTTTTTCTATGTGTGCCAGCACATTCGACTGACTATTTCCAGGAATTCGTGTATCTTCATCAACGATTATTCTAATTTGACAGTCCTTATTTGACGCCAGGGCTGGAACTCTGTAACGGATAGAGATCGTTATCCCTATCGCTATGGCACTTGCTGTCTTCTTCTCTCTTATCGAAATCAATAGAGAGGGGACGCCACTAGAGATAGAGATATTGATCGCTATCCGTTACAGAGTTCCAGCCCAGGGATCCCAGATGCTCTATTATCGTGATATCGGTCGTGAAAAAATCGTGAGAAATCGTGAGATCGTAAAACGCATGCGCATTTTAGCGAAATTATTGTTTTAACTAGGGTTTTAGGTTTTTTGGTTTCTCCAGGACTATCTGAAGCACAAAATATTCAATTTGAATTATAACATAAACATAATTTAAAAAAAATACAAAAATTAATTACTTTAGTATTAAAAAATGACAACACTTGAAATATTGCTCTAAGACTCCTACAACAGCTGCATAATTACTTTGTTTTGCCTCGGGAATATTTTGAAGAATTTCAAGCGCCTTTCCTCGTAGTGCAAGTACGAATGATGTTGCTTTTTGCTGGTCATCTCATCCATTTGCACTAGCAGCGGCCTCAAACTATCGATTATACATGGACCATGATGTTTCATCGTCAAAAGTTGGTGGTTTGAGTTGGCCGCGTACGATTGGGCTCACCGATACATCCATTTTGCTGGTACTTTCGTTGATATCTGGGTTCTTCGCGAATTTTCTCCATTTTCTTCTCCAGTTTTCTATATTTTTTCTCCAATTCCTCTCAGATCGCCCCCCTTTGACTTCTTCTCGAACTGTTTTTATTTCACCTTTGACTACTTCTCGAACCGTTTTTATTTCGCCTTTGACTTCTTGTTGGATGTTCTGGAACAACCCAGCGATCCTGTCAATATCCCTTTGTCGTCAGTCTTTTTTGGAGCTCTTGCTGTCGCTTGTCCTCTTCTTCCTGTTGTTCTTTAAGTCGCCTGTTTTCTTGTTCTTGAAGGATTTTCTGTAGTTGTTTTTTTTTTTGCTCTCTTCTCGTCCGCAAGTGTCAACAAAGCGAGCACCTGGTTTAGCTGTTCTTCCATTTCGGCAGTCTGTTTTCTCGTATTTACCATAATTGCAAATTTCTTCATTCACTTATCTTACTTCTGACACCAATTGTTACTTTTACGAGAATCCTTACGCGGTGCGCACCGAGGCTTTTATAGTTATGTGCGTTCTTCTCTAACACGCTCGAATTTTCGAGATTCAGTTCATCTTAAAAATAGTTCTGGCTTCTTTAATTGTAGTTACAAGGGGCAATCAAAAAGTACGAGTGGCGGGTTTATACCAATATGGACATTTCCACCCTAGTCTCGGGCACAAATAGTACAGGATGTTATAGGCAATAGTGCACAGATTGCACAGACAACATTCTGAAATTTCGTTTCTATTCTCTCAGGAATCTAAATCGTCAACTGAGCTGGGGTTCACAGCCGAGCCAATCAAATTCTTTCAAAGTTATCCAGAAATTCACCAGAACCGATGACGAGGAAGATGAAGATACCCCAGTAACGCAACATTCTGCAAGGTTCAATCAGGAAATGCCTGAACAAGTGAGAAGGATGAAAATTAATGACAATAATGGACATTTTAGACAAGGTAGAATATTCAGATTAATTAATATAGTACTTATCATATGTTCTTTATTCTAAATAAATATCTATATTCTAGAATTTTGCAAAAAAATCGACGAAGAAAATCCTAGAAATCGTGGAGGATACGTTCGCTCCCACATTTTTACTTATTTGGATAAAATCGGTATTTCTATTTTGAAAATTCCTCTTAGGTGGTGGTCAAACTAAATTATTGGGTGATGGGCCAAATCTCGAAATAAAACTATTTATGAAACTACAATTATTTATATTTTGATTTTTTTAAGGGTCCCAACAAAATAATGGCGGTAGAAACGTACCTGTTGAACCGCCCTACGTGCACCCCAGTGAACAAGTCGTACCTGAACCCAAGAAATATATGGGAAGTAACATCCCTAGCAGATCTTTCAAGATTTTACAAGCAATGACCGCGCCAGCAGAAAATTGTGGTAAGCTATAACCATTAACAACCTTGAATTACACCAATAACTAAATCATTTAAAAAAAAACAATCAATTATTCTTCTAGCCAATGCCAACTACAACGAAGAATTACCTTATAACGTATTTAATCCTTATGCTTATCCTTATTATCCTCCCCCTTATTGGTCCGACTACTATACTAACTTTTACCAATCCGAACAATCAGATAAAAATAGTGAAAAAGCTTCTACTAAGAGCGGAAGATCGACTCCATTACCAATGCCATACCCTCCACAGCAATATTGGCACGATTTTTACCCTAGCAATTACCCCCAAGAACAATCTGATTCAACTTCAAAAATGAGCGATAGAAGTTCGAAAAGTTCTAAAAGTGGACGGTCAACGCCGTTACCACCTCCAATGCCTTTCTGGGGCTATATGCCACCCCCTAGACCAAAAGCTGAAAATACATTAAGACCTCAAACACCCAAAAATGAAGAACCTGCTTACCATTGCCCACCCATGTATCCTCCATATTACGATCCTTATTACTATAGTTATTATTATGGATATCCTCCAATGATGCCTCCATTTCCATATTATCATCAAACATCTGAAAATGAAGAGTTCAACGGATACTCTTCTATGGACGAAATGTCCAATTATAATAATAGTAGAAGGTCATCATTGAGAAGAAGAAATAGTTTGGATAATAATAATAATAACAATATTAATAATAGTGTTCAAACTTTAAGGCAACACTTTGAAGTTAGAAGCAAATCGGCCACACCTAGAATCACTATAACTCCAACTTATTCACAAGAAAATATTAATGTGCCACAGGAAAACATTTACAATGTACCACCTGACGAGGCTGAAGATTCTGATACTGAAGTTGAAGGCAGTCAACCAAATGGGCTTCGCTCAATAAAATCCGTCCAAAACATTAATGTATATGACGCTAGTGATACTGAAAGCGAAGAAACTTCCAGTGAAGAAGCCGAAACCGATGATATTGACGACGAATCGATTCCCCATCAGCTAAGCGTAATTTACGAAGAAAGTGAACGAGGAGAATCTAGAAGATCTTTCAGATGTAGCAGCGCTGCTAGTGAAACCACTACAATAGCTGAACATCAAAGTGAAGAGGAGGATGATGACGACTTTTTAGCCAATCAAAATGTTAAATACAAAATTAATTTGTTTCAAGAGTCTAATCAAGGTTTCACTGTGACAGAAAAAAATAATGCGAAAGTGTTTAAGGAAGAAAGTTTTAGTTTGAATGCTATTGAAAGGAAATCATTTGGTGGGGCAGAAAATAGAAGAATTTTTACAAAAGCATTTGAGTCTTTTGAACGATGTGAAGTTGGTCAACAATGTTTCAAAGTATCCAGTGAGTCCTCCAAACGACTTGATTTTGAGAAATTAGAAAATAAACTTTTCCAAATGAACGATTATTGTAATAGTAACAGTAGAGTGATTTCGGTTAATAAAGAGGAAAGTAAATCTTTTGATAGCTTTTCTTGCTCTAGTAAAAATGATGTTGAAAGTGGAGTAACTGTGGAAGAAGTTGAGAGTGAAGTAGAGGATAACGCAGAGAAATTGTGCATCAAAGAAAAAGAAGAAAATTGTGATAAACACAAAGAGAAAGATGAAGATTGGTGGGGAGTGATTGCAAACGACAAACAAGATAATGTAAAAGTCGAAGCTACTGAATGTGATAATAATGAGATCAAATCGAAGTCTGATTATGTGATGGTTAAGGTGAAAGACGAGGTTGTGACTGTTAAATTAAGAAATAAAAATGTAACCAAAAAGCTAGAAATAGGAAAAGAGGAAGAATTATTTTCGCAACCTACTAGTACAAGAAATAGTGTATATGATGAGTTAAATGAAGACAATCAAGTTGTTTCAGGAGGTACGTTGATGAGAGTTGATAGTTTTGCTTCACAACTGGAGGCCCTTAAACGCAATTCAGGCCTATGGAATTTAGGCGATATTTTATCAAACAAACCAGAAAATATCATTAAAGAAGAAAGTGTTGATACTGTTGATAGTGAATCAGAACAAAGCGAACCAGAACAAAGTGAACCAGAACAAAGTGAACCAGAAGAACAAAGACTTACCAATGAAGAATATACTGATGATGAACAAACAATAAATGTTGCTGAGCAAAGTAGTTTGTGTACAGAACCTCGTGAAGAAACTGCAAATCTTAGTGAAGAATCGGAAATAGATTTTTGGAGTCAAATCAAAAACGACGATGACGATTTCCAACCGAGAAGACGAAGCTATTATCTAAATGAAGAAGAGAATGATGACTCCAATGAACCAATAAATGATAACACTTATGAAGAAAAAGTTGATTCTGCTAACTCTAGAGATAGTAGTTGTAGTAAGAGTCCCGAAAACAACAAAGCTTCTGAAACTGAATCGTCAGAAGACGAAGCTGAAATCAGAAATAGTCGCTCGAAATCATTGGAACCGCAAACGATAAAAGAACGCATTGAAGCTTTAAGAAATAGCATCTCAAACAAGCAACAGATATCAACACCTGATAAAGAAGACCTGAACATATTGTCAGTTAAGAATAAAATATCCGCCATTGAAGTTCCCACAAGTAAAACAACCTCAACGAAAAGCAGCATGAAATCGTTTGATGAATATTCGGAAGAAGAAGAATTAGATTCTGGAGTGATTTCAGATATATCAAGACACATAAGCGATAATGAAGAATTTCCCGAACTGAAAAAAATGACCCGCTACGAACGTGCTGCAACACACTCTCGATTATTCAAACTTCTTCAGGATGAATGTGAAATTGAAGAACAGGAAGAAGCAACCGATAAATTTAGTAAACTAAGTGTAAGGCAAGTGAAGCAAAGTAGAAGCAAATTAAGTTTGAATTTAAATACTGATAATGTCAATGAAAAGTTGGTGGAAGAGTTAGTGCAAAGCCTACTGAAGTCGAAGAAAGCTCACATTTTCAAAAATATGCCCAAAGAAAAACTATATGCTGCCGCTGTAACCATATTACAAGAAGGTATTGATACCAATGAAACACCTTCAGAAGAATTTAGCAGTCTTTTGTCACCTTTAAGAGGTGACACTGCAACTAGCACTCCAGCTCAAACCCCTCAGGAATTTTACAATGACAACGGCTACAAACAATATTACGATTCGTGGAGCGATGCAGCTGTTGACATAATGCCTTCAAAAGCTTTCAAGCTGTTGCAAGACCATCTTGGTGCTAATAAATTGGGTAACATTGATGGTTTTATGGCCAAATGTCCTCGAATATTGAAGCTTTTAGATGAAAATAGTTCTGATTGTTCCTTATCCCTAAATAATCCCGAATCGAACGACGTAACGAACACTTGAAAATATGACGATATTTGGATATTTGTGGAATCAAAATTTTGTCAGGGTCAGTTTATGTTTTTTTTTTTTGTGTTGCCAAAAGAGTACTCCCATCTTTTTTTGTAGTTGTTATGTTAGAGCAGTTAACCATCTAGGAATTTGTGGTGTTACAATCAAATTCCTAGATAGGCTGATAAAACTATAAGAGTTCTCTTTTGGAGTAAACTCCACCTTTGAAACAATTCTTCCCATATTCTCTCGCGAAACCTCTATTAGTTGAAATAATTTTTATTTGCATTTGATCATTTTTCTATTAATTTTCCATTAACATCTAAGTTTTTTTGCACGTGTATAATACATTTTTTGGTGGGTTCATATTAATGTTTTTTTGACTAAAAAAAGGTGTAGTTTGCTTCAAAAAACAAGAGATAATCTTACGCAGTTGCTTTGTTTGGTTGTTAGTAAATTGCATGATTTTTGTAATCGTGTTCATTTTTTCTTTTAGCATTTTTTGTATGGTTGTTGTGTTTCAAATGCAAATAAAACTTATTTTGATCAATTGGTGTTGTCGTAGGTAAAGGCTATGATACACATACAAGAACTGACATGCTGTTAGGTGCTATTAATTTTCATAGGGAATTTAATTGGGGTCTATATTTCTATTTCTTATAATAAACTCAAATTATTTTTAATTCCGAACTACGTTAGTTTTTTTCAATTTAAATTTTTTTTATTTGGATTAGTTGCATTGCCGCAAGAAATGTGTGTCGTTTTACTTGTAGCAATCTTCTATATATTTTTACTTATTTAATTTTTCCTTTTAGGTTTAGGACCCGACCAATCTGATTTTTAGAAACTGTTAATTTACGCAGTACCTACTTACCTACTGAAAACGAATATAGATAATAACAAAACAAAAAGGAAAATGAAGAGAGTTTAACAGGCACATTACATGGGAATCTGTTTTAAGTTTTTCGCTTATAAATACTGATATGCATTTTTTTTTATCCCTTTCGTTTCGTAACTCTAGGTTTTAATGTATAATATTGACTTTGTTATAATGTGTTACGGCTGGAATGTTTTTTTTTTCAAATGTTGAATCTAACTGTTGAATCTAAATTTCAATACGTTATTCAATTTTAAGGTGATTTTGCTATCTATTTTTATGTAATAAGGCTTAAAGATTAGATACAGGCAAAACGATGTGTTGTTTTTAACAATAATAATTAATAGGCTTTTGAAAAGTAGCTCAAAATATAACTTATAGTTGTGACTGTAAATAATTTTAAATATTATCGCGTCCGCCTAATATATTATTTACCTAATTATAATATTCATAATGGTGTAAAATGTATTTTTAATAAATATAAAAAGTTTAATATTATTTTTGTTTAAATTAACAACCCAAGTAGCCCATACATGTCCCTGCGACTACGTATTAACCAACTACAACGTCGTCAGAAGTGCAGATACGTGACTGTCAATAATTTTTCGTTAAAATTACGTCGTGCCGTCGTCCTCAATATGTGGTCAAGAAATCGGACCTTTATCTAGCTCAATTTTGACGTAATAAATGAAAACCAGTTTTAACGTTAAATTGATAACGTCAATCCGTCGTCCTCTTGTATACTTGTGACCTCTGAAACGTTTTTTAAACGTCGTCTAATACGACCAATCATAAGGTAAGATAATAATCGTGAAATGGACGTCATAATATTGTACCAAATTCAACGTTGCATTGAAGACTTCAATCCGTCGTTATCTTCATATCCTGTGACCTCTGAAACGTTTTAAAAACATCGTCTGACACGACCAATCATAAGGGCAGATAGAGGTCTTAGAAAAACGTCCGGCCGACGTTAAAATTGGACACAGGTAAAATTTGGTGTAGCATTTCATACTTTTTGCGTCGTTCGTTAATAAACTGTCATCAGTCAAATAAAAACATAAATAAACAATAGATATGGGAGGTTTTTGAGCGATTGACCAGTCGGTACCTTTGACAGATGAGCAACGCATTTCACGTCATTCAAGACCAATTGGTTAACCAATGACGTTTACCAGAGCCGTAACTAGACCTGTTTGCGCCTGTGGCAGGTTATTAATTTGCGCCCCCGCCCCATATCCAATGTAAAAAAGTAGATAACTGATATTCCTGTTTCATTTGACATTACTAAAATATTAATATCCAGCTCAAAATTTGAAGAATCACTCAGGGCCGGTTTATCAATCTAGGGATAACTCGCAGTTTGCTGTTCCTGGGTCAACTCTAACTCTGGGTTAACTACCTAGTTAACTCGGAAGGTGTTTATCTAAGCATTTTTAACCCAGGGCTGGTAAACTTTCGGATTCTTCGAAGGTTGGCATTACTTAGGTAACGTTGCCAGCTCACTTTTAGCGAGTTTTTCACATTTTCTGCTCATACCTTACTTTTTTAGGTTATTTTTTTCTTTTTTTTCCGTTTCCATAGCGGGATTCAGCGGGAAGTTTCATGGTTTCATGAGTTCTGTGCAAAAATATACAATATATTCGACTTCCCAACAAACGTACCTGTTTGTTGGGAATTCAAGTCTATGCTCGATTCGTTCTAGAACAAATAAAATCGTGTCTTTTCGCAAGCGAGAACATGCCAAGAAGTCGACAACGTCAAAATCGACAAAAGGATTTAACCGCAACCTTACGTGGTAGAGGCGCCGCTCATGCATGTTCTAGAAATTCTAGAAAATCTCGATCATCATCACGGAAATCTAGGTCCTCCATCTCTTCACAATATCAAAATTCAAGCCAAAACAACTTCAGATAGAAAATAAGAAAAAATTTTAAAGTTGACCCAGGGTCAAATACCTACGCTAATTTGTCGTAATAGCGCAGGTTAACTTTTTCCTGGAATAACTTTCGAGTTAGCAGTTGACCTTGGATGGATATACACTTTTCACAACTTTGACCCAAGGTTATCCGTAACTCATGGTGTAACCCTCTATTGATAAACCGCCCCTTAATAACATAACATACATAGGTAGTATCAAGTACTATTATGCAATAGCAAAAAACAAGTCAAAGAACACATAAAAAGAGGATTATTGACTATATAGGGTGTTCGAAATAATTTGAAGTAAGTACATGAGGATATTGGAAACCATTGAAAATACAGGTTGGATTCTAGTTTTTTTTTTTAAACCCAAATAAGCGTTCACACTAAAGTAGCAGGCGACGTGCGACTTACTGCTAGAAAGCAGGAAGCAGCCAAACCATCAAAATATAGTCTGTTTTTTTTTTTAAAGATAATTCCCCAAGTCAAATATTTAGTAACTATGTTGGCAGCACAAGCCTTTTCCACATAAAAATTTGAAAGCATTGACAATTAATTTTACATTGTATTGCCAACATAATGTCATTTTGACTTTTATATTAAAAAAAAAAAATAGTTATTTATGATATAAGTGGCTAAAAGTGACATTTTATTTTGTGAAAAAGGAAGTTTGGGACACGACGCCGAAGGCGGAGTGTCCCATCCCTTCTAAAAGTAATCACTTTTAACACCAGTGTCATAAAATGGCATTTTAGACACTGACAGCATCCGTTAAAAATGACACTTTTAGTGACGTTTGTAGAAAAAGACATTATACAACACGTTGCATTTTTGCGAAGACACTCCGGTGTGAACCCGCCATATATTTTTGGAGGTTCTGAAATAAGTAGTGCTTTTTGCTTTCTGGGTCTGGATTCTTGTCTGAGGGAGTAGAACTCTCCGGAAGAACAAATTTTTCGTCTTTATTATTCTCAGACGAGAGTCCGGCCCCTGGCAGCAAGTCGCACGTCGCATGTTACTTTGGTGTGAATACCCACTTATAGAGTCATGTCCTCGATAGCACAACCACTGAGAAAAACCGAAATCAGCTGTCACAGTATTAAGACAAACAAATCTTTCTTCAATCCGTGTTCTAAGATCTGTTCTCACCCTTGTAGCACAAAAGCCTCTGACAGTTTGCAAACTGTCAGTAGTCGCCCCATAGCATCGCCCATACATGTTTTCAATCTATGTTTTCAATGCCGTCTGTAGGTACAACATAAATCGCTAAATTAGCTGAGTGATTGTTTCTGAACGGTTGCAAACTGTTAGAGACTCCTGTGAGATCAGACCTATAATTTCCTAAATTACTTGCAAGAGTTCAATGTCCAAAGTAACTTTTACTTGAAGCATTTTTCGATCCGGTTTCAATTTAAGCTGATAAAAAAGAACGAATCGATTTTTTTTAATTTTCCTCCTCACAAAATCTAGAAGTAGAGAAAGGTTACCATATAGTAAAAAACTACCTCAAAAACTATAACAAATGTTCAAAGCGATGTCCGCCAACTTCAACACACTTGTCAATTCGCTGTAAAAAGCTTTCATAGCACCAAATTAGAGTTTCTATACTGAGAGCTTCAAGCATTTCTTAGGCGTTCCATCATATTTCCGGTGTTGTGGCAACCTATTAATAGACTGTCTGATTTTTAAAGTGAATTGACAAGTGTGTTTGGCGGTCATCATTTTGAACAATTGTTATAGTTTTTGAGCTATTTTTTTAATATGGTAACCTTTCTCTACTTTTCGATTTTGTGAGGAGGAAAAAAAAATCAATGATTCGTTCTTTTCTATCAGCTTAAATTGAAATCGTTTCGAAAAATGCTTCAAGTAAAAATTACTTGTTTTTTTCCGTAGAATGAAATTCTGTCATTAAAAAAATACATTTCCATTGGGAAAAAATAGTTGACCTTGAAGTAACCTTGAAAACGTTGTCAATATCAAAAATAAGTGCCGCCATTTTGTTTCTCCCATGATACCATGTAACTTTTGTTTAAACTTTTTTTTTCACAAACGCACCGTTCTCGAGATATTAGACTGTCTCAAGTTAAATGGACCAACCTGTATACTCAGCCACAAACCTACGTCAACATTATTATTTGCAAATTGCTTTCTATGCAAATAGTTATTTTTTGAAACTTTGGCATTATCATCAATTGATCCCATTGGTTTGTCTGCATTTGACGATCCTAGTAAAAAATGGCTCGGAGTAATTGCTTCAGATTCTTCAGCTTCTATGGGTAGGTAAGTTAATGGTCTTGATGAGTTCACAATGCATTTTGCGGTTACAAGATAACTGTTTAGTAGTTGACCATTTGGATTTCTAGTAGGAAATGCGTTGTATAGTGAAACTTTAACTAATTTTATGAGGCTTTCCCAATCTCCTGCCATAGCCATATGTGTGGTGATAACGGATTATCAAGTTCGGGACTTACAAGCGACTTGACTCTTGGCTATTCTATTAACTGACTATCTACTTTTTGCAACTCTTCCTTCAAAATTCTTTCAGTAGCTATAAAATTTGTTCAACTGTCGCAATAAATGTCTCTAGATCTTCCTCTTCGATTCATGAAGTTGGTGAAACAAAGAATACAACTATAAATGTTTAATTTGTATGCTACTTCCAAATGCACAGTTCTCGTCGTTAAACATGTAAATAGAGCATCCCATTTCTTCTCGAGTATCTGTCCTTCCCACGCTGACATTCATTGGTCCGTAATAGTCAACTCCAGTGAATGTGAAAGGTGCCAGCTTTACACATCTGACACTCTCTTGAAATTTTGTTTAAAAATCTTCTCAATTTTGGGATGTCTAATTTCGTTGATAACTGTCTTGTTGTTTCGATTATAGAAGGTTTGATGCAAATCTTTGAACAATAAGTTTCGTTGAATAGGAATTTCTAGGTAATATTATAGGGTGTTTCTCAATTTCAGTGAGGTAGGTAGCAGCGTCAAAGCGTCCTCGCACGCAAAGTAAACCATTGGAAGTATAGAAACAGTTTATAAATGCTACTGGATTTTTTCTCTATTGGCTGTAAACCATTTTGTGAATTTTCTTGCTCTATCAAATGTTTGATTTCGTTCGAAAAAAAATGTCTCTGACCGTTTCTGAGATCCCAATGGAGAACATCGAATCTGAATCACCCTGTATATTTTCCCTATTTCAGGTGTTCGATTTTATATTTTAGTCGTTGGATTGTTTGGATTTTGAGTGGTGCGATGTGCGTTTTAGCTGCAACTATAGGTACAGCATTTCATGTGTTCTTGGTTTTGGGCTAGAACTCTGTAACGGATAGAGTTCGTTATCCCTATCGCTATGGCACATGCTGTCTTCTTCTCTCTTCTCGAAATCAATAGAGAGAGGACGTCAATAGACATAGAGAAAATATCTATTCGTTACACAGTCCCAGCCTAGTAGGTAGCCTACTACTGCTGATGCGTATTCGCTTGAATTTACGAAAATGTGAAGCTGGGTATGGCAGTTATTTCAGTCTCCCATCTGTCCAAGATAACATCGGGCTATTTAAGGCTTTTCAATGTTTGGTAACAATTTAATCCAAATTAACCATTTTGTAAACTGTTCATCGGTAATTTCTTGATCTCATGAAATGTTACTTCGCCAAATTTCTTGCAGAAGAATTTTTACGTAGACTAGGAAGTTTGCAATTAGTCCTAGTGGAAAACTACGTGGGAATTCCCTTTTTGTAGATTTTCGTTTTCCATTTAAAACGTCCCTATTTCCTTCATTCAAACGCAAGGTGCGTATATAAAAGTATCTGATTTTTAATCCTACCACATGCCCAAAACCTTTTCTGTATTGTTAATCTCAGTCATTAAGTTGCTAGAATTCGAGCGCCAATTCAGAATTTCGAAATTACCATCAGCATGAATCTTGTATAGAAATTTCTATAGCTTCTTCTTCAGTATCTGCAGAGTCAAGAAGATCATCTACGTAATGAGTGCCTATAAGACACAACTCACAGCCCTCTGATATTTTTTATTGTATTTCTTATAGAGTTGAAATTTTGAACAAATTGGGCGCAGCTTGGAGAACATGTCGCTCCAAATTTCATAATAATCATTACATAAATCGATAGGATTTTCAGAGTTACCGCCTCGCCACAAAAAACGTTGTGCATGTTGATCTTTACAGTTTATGCCGTGCCGATGTTTATTACTCACTTCTTCGATATTGCAGTCACAAACATGGAAAGTATAGTTTTCGTGTAAATTAAAAGAGCTTGGAGACAAGGCGAATACAGTCTATCCGAGTCTACATTTGACTGCTACGGGATGGCCGATGGCCGAAATTGTTTAGGGATTCTTGAACTTTTAGTGGTAGTGCTAAGTTATCCAAGCCGATCAAAATTTCTAGATCTGCTTCTTTGTACGAGGAAAGTGGTATTCGTTTTAGGTACCTATGGAAAATGTTTTTTTTTTTTCTCAGCTGCGTTTAAAGTTTGTTTTGGTAATTTTAATGTTCCTACAGTTCTGACTGATCTTCCATCAAACTGTTTTGCTCCTTCAAAATCGCCACATATGGATAATAACTTTTTCTGATTTATTTCCTAAACGTTGTTGTTCTCCGGTCCACTGCAACCACAATGTTTCTTGATCTCCATGTATATTTAGTTTTTTTTTGCGATACTTTCGTTTATAAATGTTATGACGATCCTTCATCTAGAATGGCGTAAGTCTTTACCTCAAAAGTTTCATTTCTCAGAACTACTACTAGCAGGATTCTAAATCGCAAATTTTTAATGTCAGATTCATGGACTTGTGATGCGTTAATTTCTGTGGGTATATCAACATTCTGTAAAATCGCAGGACCTGAATTTGCTTGGCATTCATTTTTCTAAGTAGAAATGTCAGCGTCTGAGCATTCTTCTCTTTTATTATAAAGAAGTTGTTTGATCACATTTTACCGGGTATCTGCAAGGAAATCGATATCTGTTCAAACAGCCTGCATACATTTGATCGCTTGATAATTTCCCATCTTTTATCTACAGGATATCTTGTTGACAATATGGGGTTTGATGATATTGTTCACTGCATATTTTACAGGTTTGGTTGAGAGGTTTAGTTCCAGATTAAGTTGTCTCATATGAATATTGGAACATTCATTTCTTTGAAATAGTTTATTTTCAGAGTAGGTAAGGCTGTGAATTGCCCAATTAATTTTAACTTGTGATGGGAGTTTTTCTAGAAGTTCATGCATTAATATGGGGTTATTTCATAAAGTTGGTGTACTCCTTATTTGGCCTTACCCCAAGATATTACATTGGTGACGAGGATGGGATAATACCTTTTCTGGATGACGTAATTGTTTCTGGGAAGACTGCTGAAGAGCATCTGCGAAATTTGGAGGAGGTTTTTAGGAAACTCCAAGAGGCTGGTTTCACTCTAAAAAGAGGGAAATGCTTTTTTTTTCAGAAAGAAGTAGAATATCTGGGTTTCAGGCGTGATGAAATTTCGATGGAGGACGGAATTCTGCTACTCTATCATCGAGTAATTGTACCAGGTGCACTAAGAAAGAAAATTTTGTCGGAGATTCACACATTTCACAGGAGGAATATCAAGAATGAAAGCCCTGGTAAGATCATATGTGTATTGGCCCAGCATTGACATGCATTCTTAACAAAGCTAATCCGCCCAAATCTGGCTTTACACCATATGGCCATTAGCACCATTCGAAAGAATTAACATGAATTTTCTGTCGCTCAAAGTCAAGGATTTTCTAATTCTGATAGATGCATATAGCAAATGGGTAGAAAGAAGTTTTTCTAACGAGGAATACATCAGCTTTTGAGACCGAGTCGAAACTGCGCAAGACCTTCGCCAGGTTTGGATTGCCGGAAACCGTGGTAAGTGACAATGGCAGTATGTTTGTATCAGCCAGTCTAAAAAAATTCTTTGCCAAAAACGGAATTAGCCATCTCACTTCCCCAACGTACCACCCTAGAAGCAAGGGAGCGGCAGAGAACGCAGTAAGAACATTCACAAAACAAGATTAAAACAGCACTGCAAGACCCGAGAAACAGACAACTACCCCCGGAAACTCCTATTTCCAGATTCCTGATGTCGTACAGGACAACTCCACACTCCTCAACAAACAAAACACCATATTATTTGATGTTTGGTAGGGAAGCCAGAACGAGACTATGCCAAATCGAAAAACGACCTTACACAGAGCGAGAAAACCCCAGAAAGGCAGGATTAAAGTTAGCGGAAATAGCTCAAATTAGAAACCATGGTGGAAAGACAAGAAACTTCGAAAAGGGCGAAAAAGTTTTTGTTGCAGATTATACAGGTGGTCGAGGAAGGAAATGGACCCCAACAACAATATCCAGGAAGATCGGAAAAAACACCTATATGTCCGAGTTGTCAACCGGACAGCTGTGGCTGCGTCCCACCAATTAAATTCACAAATACATGCCTGCGGAAGAGCCAGGGAAGCCTAACAAAGACCCAAACTCAAATAAAAATGTGAACAAAAGTAAAAGAGTCAGGTGCAAAAACCCCTTTTGTTTTATAAATTCCGCAATGTCTCTACTTCCATAGTTGGGGAGACCAGTGTGAGCGATGTGCAGAGTCAGGGCGATCATGCGTCAGTAACAGCAGCTTTCACAGTACCATCATAAAGTTCGCGTACTCGTTATTTGGCCTTACCCCAAGATATCACACAAAAACAGATAAAAACCAAAACTCAAAATAAGTTTACTCCGAATAATTTATTTAATCATTAGGTAAATACATTATATTATTTATACAAGGGGAAAAAAATGATTAAATTGATTATACATTGTATGCAATAATATATTAAATAAGTAGTTTATGTATACACCTGTATCATATAGGACTTTTACTCATAAAATTATACAAAAAAAACAAACTAGAGCAGCAAAGACACCCCGAATACGCAATTCCGTAATATTATGCAAAACTAAACCTAAATAAATATAATAATAATAACATACATAAAAAAAAAGTTTTTACAATAATATTTTTAAAACAGGGACTAGGGAGGGTACAAATTCTACCTATATACTACAGTATAAAACTTATATAAGTACCGGGTGTCCAACATTTGAGTAACAGAAAAAACTACTCTTTTTTTAAAAAAAATTAGCTACCTGACATCCAGTATTCCATTCACAGAAAAGATACAGAGAGTGTCTTGACTGTGTGTAGATTATCTAAAGAACAAATTTTAATGAATCTGATGTCAGAAACCAGAATTACAATGCCTTTGAAATATCCACACAAAATAAAACGACTATAACATCCATTATTGCTCGATAAAGTTCTTCTTTAGAATGACTAGTTTTAATGGTGCTCTTCAGGCACTGGAGCAATCAGTCGTTGCATGCTCAAATATTCGTTGCCGGATCGAGGTCTCAATGTACACGAAGGTGGCGGAGGTTCCACGCTGGAACTGTGCGAGGACAAAGAGAGAGTCTCAAAGTAGTCTGACATGTCGGAGGTGCCGCTGCTGGTACTACCATTCGGACAAACCTTAAGAATTAAAAAAATAAATAAATCGTGTTATCAGAGTACTTAATTATACTTACGGGTACTTCAGCTTCAGCACTAGCCGATTTCCCTTCGGAAGCTGCTTTATTGAATTGAAAACTTAAATCACGTAGTGGATCAGAACTTTTGGATCTTCTGGGAAGAGTGACATTGGCATGCATTTGAGTACGTCTTGGCAATTCAAAAACTCCTGAATCGTTAGAACTGGACGAATCACGATTCGATTTGCAGGGTACGCTAGATGAACGACGTACTAACTGCGCTGCCTGTGTCATTTGTCCTACACACTTGCAGGGTGAAGTGACGTCTGGTTCTGGTTCAGGTTCCACTCGACTTGTGCTGGAATCTGCACTATTGGAACGCTTTCTTCTAGCGCTATCAATGTCGTCTGCATTATCCAGAATTTGTTTTCTTTGGTAAACATCGCCGGCATGCAGCATTGCAGATCCAGAAGCTGGTTTACTGGAACGATCCGGTGCTGGACCTAAATTGGGATTGCTGTTGGACAGTACTTTGCTTAGGCGCTGTTTCACTGCTGGTGACATTGGGATATATCTGAAATAACTTCAAATGAATTCAATTTTTAAAACAATTTGATAAATGAAATCTTACCCTGGATGTGCTTGACTTAAAGTTTTGCTGGGTTCCATAAGTAAATAGTCGTTTTGCGCGTGTCCGCATTTGTTGCAAAGGGCACGAGCTTTTTCCGAAATCTCTTTGCCATTTTCGTATAGTTGCAACGTGTGAGCAAATTCCATATTTTCGTAGTTGCAACCCACTATCGTTGTCTGTTTCTTATTATTTACATTGTTCGGATTCGTTACTGGGGTTAAATTGGCGTAATTCGTTGTGCCTGGATTTGGATGGCATCGATAAGTCTTTTTGCTATAATCTACAGTGGCATAGACGGCATGAACAGAATCCTCTGGAGCCGACCAGCAGCTCATGAGGCGTTGACAGACGCACGGTCTTTCTGGTTCCGGTTGTCGGATTCTCAAAATACAACCGCACGGTTTTTGAACTGTTTCGAATCCGATGCACTCTTTTAACTTTCTTGGCGTGTCGTAATGATCATTGTGATTTGGTTCCTGTAAGAAAGATCTTGTAATTTCCTACTCATGAAAATAATTGATTACTTACCACTGGGAACGGCATTTTAGGAACATCATAATTGTCGTAGGACATAGGAAGCGGGGCAGCGGGTTTCTTTGGCGACGGAGAAGTGGACCCTGGTTTAGGAGGTCTTTGAGGAGGCCTAGTGACGGCCTGGCTCCAACCTGAACTATCACTAGAACTACTAATCGAATGTCGATCGCACGTGTGCTCCCAACAAGGAGCGCCCAGTGTAGGGCCCATGGTAACTGTTGCGGTGGACGATCTAGACATCGCACCCAATTTACTGATGCAACTCATGCATCGTTCAATGGAAGGCTGATTCCAGCCATCGTTCGAAATGCTGTCGCCGCAGCCGTAGTTGCTTTCTAGGTCGGTGTAAGGAGAGTTGGCTCTGGATGTTAGGGAGGCTTCGCTTTCTCTTAATTCTAAGGCTACGCCACCTCGCATTTGGGGTCTTCTAGCAGGACTATCCATAACTGAGAATAATAACGAAATGTGAATTTTTCAGGATTATATTTTAAATGTTTTATTATGACAAGGCAGAATACTCAGAACAAAATTGCAGGATAAGGCTACCCCTTCACTTGAGGATCGATCAGGATCCAGATACTGTGAGGTGAAAATAGAAAAGTCATATTATCTCTGGTCATATTAAAAATATTCATTTGATTATTATCATACAAGACAGAAGTTGTACGACAAAAACAAAGAGATGCCTGGAGGACATACTGTAACGGAATAAAAAACTATACGGAAGCGGCGAGACTTTAAAAAGCTCTTAATAAAGACACATTTCGGGAAATTGGTATCCTGTGCAAGGAGGATGGCACATTCACTGCCAACCTTCAAGAAAGATTTACTACTAGCAACCCACTTTCCTGACTCCACAACCACAATCGTGGAGGATCAGACGCAGGTAACATACATACCCTCTGTGGCTTATTGCCAACTAGCGAATCAGATAATATACGAGGAAAAAATAGGTTGGGCAATTTCAGGCTTATTCGCCTTCAAAGCACCAGGATCTGACGGTATCTATCCAGCCCTACTTCAGTGAGGTCAGAAGCCACTCTTGCCGCATCTGGTAGGGATGTTCAGGGCATACTTGGCACTGAGATATATACCCAAAGCTTGGAGAGAAATTAAAGTGGTGTTTCTACCCAAACCATAAGAAAATAGAGAAAGCATATACCGTCTATGACCAGTATAGACGTACTGTCGGTAGGAACTGGGGCTTCTCCCCAAGGTAGTAATGTGGATAGTGTTGCCAGGTTTTTTTTTTGTCAGTAGATTACCAGTCTAAATACCAGTAGAAACCAGTAGACAGATAAGTTGCCTTGTTAAAGGGGTGAACCATTAGGATATACTCAATTAATTATTTTAACATTTTACATATTCAAATCAATAAATTATTAGACTGTGTATTAGACTATGAAAACTTGCATTAGAAAATCAAACACCAATTACGACACTCTCAACAGATATTCCTATTGAATATGCACTACCTATGGGATGCCCTATATTTGGTTCTATATTCTTGAAGCGTACAATTTCCCGATTCCAAAACTATATAGTTTTTCTATATTTGGTTGAGCCGGCTCCAACATATTTGGTTCTAAAAATTTTAAAAATACTATCAGAGAAATCTCAAATTTTACCTGCAGCTTTCACCTGTACAGGTAGAATGATTCACAAAATCAGTAGTAGGATAGTATTTTTACAATACAGGGTGGTCCATTTAACTTGAGACAGTCTAATATCTCGAAAAAGGTGCGTTTTTGAAAAGAAAAGTTTAAACAAAAATTACAGGGTATTATGGGGGAAATAGAATGGCGGCATTGACTTTTGACATTGACAACGTTTTCAAAGTTATTTCAAGGTTAACTTTTTTTTTTCAATGGAAGTGTATTTTTTTATTACAGAATCTTATTCTACGGAAAAAAACAAGTAACTTTTACTTAAAGCATTTTTCGATCCGGTTTCAATTTAAGCTGATAAAAAAGAACGAATCAATTTTTTTCATTTTCCTCCTCAAAAAATCTAAAAGTAGAGATAAGTTACCATAGTAAAAAATTACCTCAAAAATTATAACAGTTGTTCAAAGGGATGTCCGCCAACTTCAACACACTTGTCAATTCGCTGTAAAAAGCTTTCATGGCACCAAATTAGAGTTTCTTTACTGACAGCTCTAAGCATTTTTTATGCGTTCCATCATATTTCCGGTGTTGTGGGAACCTCTTGATAAACTGTCTGTTTGATTTTTAAAGTGAATTAACAAGTGTGTTGAAGTTGGCGGTCATCATTTTGAACAATTGTAATAGTTTTTGAGATATTTTTTTAATATGGTAACCTTTCTCTAATTTTCGATTATGTGAGGAGGAAAAAAAAATCAATGATTCGTTCTTTTTTATCAGCTTAAGTTGAAACCGGATCGAAAAATGCTTCAAGTAAAAGTTTCTTGTTTTTTTCCGTAGAATAAGATTTGTAACGTAGGTTACTAAATTTTTATTGTTTTATCCGCGTTTCCGTTAATTAAATTAATTCCGTACCGATATGTTGTGTCGACGCGTGACCTCGAATGCAAAGCACTCTCCAGTATAAAGCGACGTGCGCGCCGCGTTTCAAAAACTCGATTCCCCACCGCTGGTATCTGCGCTGCCGTCTGACGACGACGTGACGCGGCGCCTCCCGATTATTTATACGGCAGCACACACTGCAGTCGGCCACTTCTATCCGAGCTCCGATTCCGACCAGACCTACCGACCAGCACCAGCCGCCAGCTACAAGCAATGTAAGTCCGTTTTATCCGCCGCCGCCGCCGCCGCCGCTTGCCGACGTCAGCACCGTCGCGACGCCAGATGAAGGCTCAGTAAGTAATAGGTATGGGTAAGAAGGCAGGTATTCTCTCTCTCTCTCACACTGCAAGAACGGAACTACGGGTGGGAATACGTACTGGGTAGCTCTGTTCTTGTAGTGAAAGACCTAAGGGGGCTACGGGCTGGAATACGTACAGGGTAGCACTCTTCTGTCTCGATTGGTGGATAGAGGAAACGAAACCACGGGTGGGAACACGTACTGGGTGGTTTTGTTTCCTCTATGGGAAGACAAAAGGGGGCCACGGGCTGGAACACGTACAGGGTGGCACTCTTTGTCTCACACTTCTTCTGACTTCATATTCCACGGGGACCTGCTTCCTGCCTATTGTTAAATTCACGCATGCGCCATAGGGCGCTGATCCGAGTTGCTGACGCCGGTAAGAGTCGGACCGTACAAACCATAATTCCGGAGCTTCTTGCCTGTTTCACCGCACCGTCATTGTTTACCGCACCGTCATTTCTACCGCACCGTCATTTCTACCGCTCCGTCATTTCTACCGCACCGCCATCTTTACCGCCGCACTATACCAGTCCGCACCGTCACGCATATCACTCCGTCTCTCTCTCATACTCGTTCACACACTCTCTCCCTCCGGGTTAAGCATTTCATTTCAATAAATCCGCATCTTAATTAGGTTTTCTTGCATTTCCATTTCTTGCATTTCCTTTCTATTGTTTATGCAAAAAAAAATACATTTCCATAAAAAAAAAAGAGTTGACCTTCAAATAACCTTGAAAACGTTGTCAAAGTCAAAAATAAGTGCCGCCATTTTGTTTCCCCCATGATACCATGTAATTTTTTTTGAACTTTTTTTTTCAAAAACGCACAGTTTTCAAGATATTAGACTGTCTCAAGTTAAATGGACCACCCTGTATATGAGAAACTTTTCAATCAAATATAGACAAACTATATATTTTCAGAATCGGGGCATTGTGCTCTTCAAGAATATAGAATGAAATATAGGGCATCCCATTTGAAAAAAGCTGGAAGCATGCAAAATTTCATATTTCTGACATTCAAATTTTGTTTCTGATCATGGTTTCTAAAAATTCAGCCAAAACTGTACAACTTTTGCATTTACACCTTTTTTCTACATATGTATGTAAAAGTAAAAGAGGTAGATGGAGTGTCAATATATGAAAAAACACCCTGTACAAATAAGTGGATTATTGCGAAACTTATGGGTGAACCTCAGCGAGACGAGCGCAGCGAGTTCCGCAGATATCTACTCACCAATATACTGTTGAACTGTTCAAAAATAACCTTCGTCTGAAACGTGTAGTTTTTGAATTAATGAGAAAAATTCATAACTGAGTGAATCAGGTTAGTATTGTACTTGAACAACATATTGGTGAATAGATGGCTGGGTCTACCCATAAGTTCCGCAACAATCTACTCGTTTGTACTTGAATAACTTGTCACAATATATTAGTAGTTTAGTAAAGAAACATTATTAATTCCTGTTGAAAGGCGAATTGACAAAAAGTGGATAATCTTACAAATTCGGACTTTATGTAAGTTATTTTTCAAGTACAAATAAGTGGATTGTTGCGAAACTTATGGATGGACCTCTGCGGGACGAGCGAAGCGCAGCCATCTACTCACCAATATACTGTTGAACTGTTCAAGTAAGACATTCACCTGAAACATGTAGTTTTTAAACTAATAAGAATAACTCACATTTGAGTGAGTCAGGTTAATATCTTAATTAAACAACATATTGACGAATAGATGGCTGCGGAACTCGCTGCGCTCGTCCCGCAGAGGTCCACCTAGAAGTTCCGCAACAATTCACTCATTTATACTTGAATAACTTGTCACATTATGTTACTAGTTTGGTAAAGTAACATTACTAATTCCTGTTGAAAGGCGACTTGATAAAAAGTGAATAATCATAATCTTAGAAATTTAGACTTTATATAATAAGTTATTGTTCAAGTACAAATAAGTGGATTATTGCGGAACTTATGGGTGGACCTCGCAGCGAGTTCCGCAGCCATCTACTCACCAATATATACTGTTGAACTGTTCAAAAATAACCTTCGCCTGAAACGTGTAGTTTTTGAACCAATGAGAAAATTTCATAACTGAGCGAATCAGGTTAGTATTGTACTTGAACAACATATTGGTGAATAGATGGCTGGGTCCACCCATAAGTTTCGCAACAATCACTCGTTTGTACTTGAATAACTTGTCACAATATATTACTAGTTTGGTGAAGTAACATTATTAATTCCTGTTGAAAGGCGAATTGACAAAAAGTGGATAATCTTACAAATTCGGACTTTATGTAAGTTATTTTTCAAGTATAAATAAGTGGATTGTTGCGGAACTTATGGGTGGACCTCTGCGGGACGAGCGAAGCGAGTTCCGCAGCCATCTACTCACCAATATACTGTTGAACTGTTCAAGTAAGACATTCACCTGAAACATGTAGTTTTTAAATTAATAAGAATAACTCACATTTGAGTGAGTCAGGTTAATATCGTAATTAAACAACATATTGATGAATAGATGGCTGCGGAACTCGCTGCGCTCGTCCCGCAGAGGTCCACCCTTAAGTTTCGCAACAATTCACTCATTTGTACTTGAATAACTT